CTTGGTCACCCACTCAGTCCGTTCGGCCAGGTCCTGAGCCTGCAGCCATCCCAGCCGCTTGTGGTGCGGGAGCGACTGGAGCACCCGTCTGGCCCGGTAGTAGTAGGCCAAGAGGACATCGAGCGGGACCTGGACGAAGCTCGTGCTGTCGGCCCCCAGGACGGCCTCCCTAGCCGCCTCCGGAGCACCTGACACGCGGCCCGTGCCAGCCAGGGCGTAGGCCACCAGCAACGTGTAGAGCTTGTCCAGATAGCCCTCCCAATCTCTGGCCACAGTGTCCTCGTCCGCGTCCTCTTCGACGAACAAGGTGTCCGCCAGCTTCCTCTTCTTGCTGGATGACGTGAGCTGGAATTGCAATGACCGAACCTTCCACACATCGAAAACGCACAGCAGCCTCTTGGACATCTCTCGACTCACTCGGGAAACGGTGGCATCCGACGGGTACAATTCCGGGGGGAGCCGGACTCGGTACCTGGTCCAAAAGGCCACCTTGACATCCCGAAGCTCGCTGTCTCCCAGCAGTGAATCGAGGTCAGTGGCACTCACTTTGGAACGGTCGGTGTCACACTGCTTGAAATACAGTGAAACCGCGGACCAGGCCCGCCTCAAACGAGCCACCTGGATCATTCGATCCTCTCCCAGATTCAGTTTGCCCAGGAAGGTTTCAACCTGTGCCTCCGAGTCGAAGAAAAACCGAAATTCTTCCAGGTTGGCAATCTTGTGTTTGAGGAGGGCTTGGACGACCGATTGCTCCAAATCGAAGTTGATTGCCAGGGCCCCAAGGGTTTCCTCAATGGTCTTCCCAGGTGGAGGCACCAACCCCAAACTTGCCATTGCCGCCGGGGTCACTCCCCGGCCTGGCTGTCAACGCCGGATCTAGTCCTGCAATACGAAATGGGCTGAGGCAGACCCCGTCCCATGACCGACTTCCCTCCCTGTCTCCCACGGAAACCCCATGACAGTGCAGGTGCAGTGGAGTCAAGCCGTGGAGCATCACTTGCGGGGGACTGTCCCTCGCCCTTCCACTTCTCCCCAAAACCTAAGGTCCCAGCCAAACTTCACACCCCTTTGGGGGGGGGGGGGCCTCAGAGATTCTGGGGTTAAAACAGTTCGTCCTCAACACCGACTTTCTTCTCGCTCTCAGCAGAGTCGGGCCCGTCGGCAAAGGCTGAGGCCCGTGCAAAATGGGGACCCAAGCTTATTTGGACGCGCCGGGGAGGCAAAACCGCAAAACATCAGCCATGGTCTACTCACTGCGCCGCCACCCAGCTGGAGCTCGCCCCTGGCAAAGGTGGCACAAAGTCCGCCCCCACACTGACGCCTCCTCCCAGGTGTCGCACAGGATCGGATCCCTCAAGCGCCCAGCACCAGAGCGCGCCTGCACAGCGGCGCATCGTTCGTCATGCGCAGGTGGATGTTCGAGCGCACCGTGGTCACATAGCCCACCGGCAAAGGCCACGAGGGTCCCACCCTCGTTTCCTGCCGCACGCGCTCCACCCACATCCCGGTGTCCTTGTCGTGGGCGATCTTGCTGTACTCGATGTTTCTGCGGGCCCGAATCCACGCCTCCGACTCCGAGATGGTCTCCCGGGTCAAGACTGCACGGGCCAGGGTGCCCATTGCCGCGGCCCGGTGCCGGCCCGCCATGCAGGCACGAGCGCCTGTTCACCAGCCGCCAGCGTCTGCTGCAGCACGTGTTCTTCCAGCCCTCCGTGCGGTCCCGCGGCTTCGTGATGGGCATGTGCACCGGGAACGCCCCCGGCAATGTCACACCCCCCCGGCTCTCCGGGCTGTTCGGGAGGCAAATGATCTGCAGAGTCACGGGCGGGAAATTGGGCGCCTCCACCTGCTTCGGGAGTCCGGACAACCACAAACGGCCACCCTTCGCATTCTGGTAAATGCATGTCGCTACCTGCGCAGCGCGTTCCTCCGCAAGGGCATCAAACAGCTGGTCCCCCTGGGCCACAGGGAGCACAGCCGCCGGACGCGAAGGCTGTGACGGGGCTTCCGAGTCACCCTCGGGCCAGGCGTCACGCCTCCTCCGCTTCTCACCAGGGCCGCTCGGCTCTGGCGGCCGCTTCTGGGGCACCGCCTTGATCTTGGGCGACAGCATCATCGCTTCGGCACTAGCCGAGCCACTGCTCGCGGCCCCTGACGGCCGGGCCGGGATGGACGCCTCCGGGTCCTCCACCATGACCACCTTCGTCACCCGGCACACGCCCGCTGCGTGCTTCCCTCCGCAGGCTCTCCCCGTCAAGCGGACGCATGCGCAAAGGTGTGCAAACCCGCACACTCGCTCCCCGGGGCATTGCCCCGATTGGAACGCCGGGCACATCACTGCGGTCAGACGCCGGCCGTTGAGCGAGGCCGGCATCGTGGTAGCTGGTTTAGCTGCCTCTGCCTTGGCTTTGGCAATCCGCTTGAGCTTCTGCGTCAGGGCGAAGCGCTTCTGAAGCTCCTTGGGGCGTGGGGGGGCCGCCCACACCACCTGGGCGTCCCGCGCCTTGGCTTGGGCTGCCGCCGCCTGGCCAGCCTGGGCCGCCTCCTGAACCTCCGCCGGCGGAACCAACTCCCAGGACTCGTGGTGGGTCAAAGCCGCAACCGCTCCCACCATCCTGTACTTGGCCAACAAGGACGCCGCGTACTTGGCCCCGCTGTAGTGCAATGGCATGCGAGCATCCTCCGGAACGTCGCCTTTGGTCTGCCAGTCGCCCAGAGCCGCCATGTCGAGGGCGCTGAACCCCACCAGTTGGCCCACCGTTGTACCAACCCGCCTGAATGAGTACGACGACACCATCGCCGGGTTCTCCACCAAGTCCGCAAACTCATGCCGGACCATCCGGTAAACATCGGATAGCGACCACGGGATCCCCTCCCAACGGAACGCCAGCCCGCAGTCTGCCTTCTGCTTCTCCGGCACCAGGGCAAAGTCATGGAGCCAGGCCGCCGACCAGTCCCACCCGGTTGACAGCTGTCCGGGTACGCAGAAGTCGAAGCCCTTCCGAAGGCGCCGCTGCTTCCCTTTGATGCAGTGCGCATGGACCGTCGACATGGTTACCTTCCGCACCTCCGCCCGAGTGAGGTGCTTGTGGCGTAGGACTCCTCCATAGAGCATCCATGCCGCCAGCAACGCTTGCCAGCGATCATCGCCCTGCGTGTAGAGCTCCTCCATCCGCTGCTCCATCTTCAGCAGCATCACCGGCTCCACCACGGCTGCCTGTCCCCTGGGCCCTGCCCGGCGCGCCTGTCCCGCAGGCGGCGTGAGCATGCTGTCGCCCTGTGGCCCTAGCACCCGCAGCTGCGCCTGTCCAGCGCAGGCGGCGTGAGCATGCTCAACCCCAGATCCACCCTCGCCTGCTTGGTGAGCCAGCGCAGTGATTGGGTAGCACGGGCCGGGGCAGCTGTTCCTTCGTGGAGGAAAACGTCAAGGTCGACCACCTCCGGCGGCAGCGGGCGAGAACGCGCTTGCATGAAGGTGATCATCTCACCCCATGTGCGCAAGGCATTCAACACCGTGGCCCTTTCCGCCTCCGTCACCAACCGCTGCGCCAAACGAGTACATGATCCTCTCCACTCGCGCCGCAGCTGCTCCGTCAGGACTCCTGTCGGCTTCATCGCCCCCATGTCCTGCAGTGCCTCGCCGAGCCGCTGGACCTGCATCGTGATCGCCTCCGGTTCGTCTTGAACTGCACGAAGGCGTACCGCCGGAGCCCTCGAAGGCCGAGGGGCCAGAGGCCGAAAAGGAAGGTGAACAGCCGTCCCCCGGCTCTCACCCTCCACCACATCAGCCGCAGCCGGCAGCAGCTCGGACTCCTGTGCGCTACGCACCCGCACCCACGTGTTGGCCAGGTCCCTGCCGCCAGCAGTCAGCGCCTCCTCAAACGAGCGGAAGGCGAACGCAAAGTCCGCATCATTCTGCAGCCCGTACTCGCGCCTCCACCGGGCGGTGTGCTGGGCGCCCACCGCGCCCAAAGCCGACTCCGGGTCCCACTGCCCCCCGGCGTCCCCCGCCAGGCGAGCGTAGATCCCGGTCGGTACAGCTCCATGGCGCTAAGGATCCCCCAGAGAGACCAAATGGCTGAGGCATTCCTCGCAGAGCGGCCTGTCCCGGATGACGTGCCGTGTGAGGGCACCACACCGCATGCAAGGGGGGAGGAAAAACACGCTCTCCCGCTGCAAAACCAGCCAGCCACTGGCCCAGAGCCTTCCCGGCCCAAGCGGCCCCATCGCGACTCTCCCAGTCGCCGGAGGGGATCGGCTCATATGCCGGCTCTCGCCAAGAGACCCGGCCTGCCTGCCACCTCCTCCACGCCCAGAAGACGGCCTCCCGATCGAGGCCACACTCCTCGAGGCCGGCCAACTCCACGTAGCCAATGAAACGCGCCACGTGCTCGGGGACCAGCTGCTGCACTCGCATGCCCGAGTCAACGGCCCGAAGCTGATCCTCATCCAAGTAGTCCCGGCCCGCATAGTAAAGGTCCCAAGCTGCCTCCGGACCAACCTCCGCTTGAACCAGGACTGCGCGCTTGGTCCATGTCCCGAGCCACGGGAACTGGAACCCCCCACGCATCTCTGTGCACCTAGCACACCCTTCCACCATGCAGGGAACCTCCCGCAACGACCCCAGGGAATGAATGCGAAATTCAGAGGTCTCGGTTGGGGGGAGGTGCACCACCACCACAACAGCCCTCCACAGCCGAACGGCCTGGTCCCGTTCCCCACGGGCCAGCAGTCCTTGCACGTAGGATTCGAAGTCCCTGAGGGCCGCCGGGTGCAACATCCGCGCCTGACAATGGGCCACCAAATGGCCTGCATCGGCGCCAGACATACCGGAGTCCCACTCCAGTCAACAATATAACCGAAAACCAAAAAGGTATCTGCCAATTTGGCTCAGTCTTGAGCCAAAATGGCAGACCCATGACAATTGATGATACATGTTCACCCAATGCCTGCCAAGCTCTAAACATGGCATAGAACCCCGTATCTGCGACCAAAGGCGCATCGTTGGATGCCTCATTGATCTTGGGAAGGACCTGCCGGGCAGCGGCAGTGCATTTCCATGGAGAGAGGGATCCAAAACACGCCACGGACAAAGTTGCGGCACGCTGAGAGGACGCGTAGGGGCGCAAAACGTGAGGGGGCACGTGACTCTAGTGCACCAACAGAATCTCTCTGGCTGTCCTCCCACATGTTTTCGGCAGCAGGTCGGGTATCCCAAAGATCGTCCTTCCCCCGGAAATGCCCCCTCCCTTCTCTCAGGACGTCCTTTATCAGAAATTGAGGCTTGCCGCAAGCAACTCGGCCCCTTTGGCCGCGAGCGGCGAAAACCTCTCCCATTTCGCCGTTCGCCTCGAGCGAAAGAACTGGCCAAATAGTTTTACCACTATCAAAGTCACCCCTAGAAGTGGCAGGTTCAAGGGAACCCACCCACCAGCGTCGATTTTCTTTTTCGCCCCAGAAATCCGTCCAACTAATGACACCGCCCAGAGCCGCCTTCTCGCGCGTTTCTTCGGGACTCCGGCAGCCAAGCATGTGCCTCGGCTGCACTCCGACTGGAGCGCACTGACGGGAGGAGTCATTGCAGTTGCCCCGAAAGAGCCGAAGTGCCAGCTCAGCTCCTCAGCTCCTTGACATTCCCAATCCGAGAGAAACCAAGTCTGAAACCATGGCAGTACATTGGTTCAATTCAAAGAGTCGGAGTGCTTGTCTGCTTCAGAACTATCTTGCTCTTGCTCTCGCTCTCTCACCCGCCGCAAAAAAAAAAAAACAAAACTTGTGAAATTCAATCTCGGGGTTGGCCATCCTAGCACGGCTCTTGGTGTACAATTCAAACCTGCAACTCCCCTGACGGATCAACGAGGAAACCACTGGGAATTCGTCGGAAGGGCGTTTCTTCTGAGACACAACGCACTGGGAGGGCCCCCAGCTTCGGTCGCAGCCACCCCTTGTGTCTTATGCGAAATAACACGGGCACCCTTTTTGGTAGTTGAGTTTTGAAGGGAATCTCCTCCCCCCCCCACAAACAAAAGGATCCCCCCCCCCCACCCGCACCCCACCCACCACAAAGAACCACAAAAAGGTCGCGGACCGCAGCGCCAAGAAAACCGCAGCCTTCTGCACCGAGGTCCACGCCCAATGAGCTTGGTACCGAGGCTCTCGTCCTGCGGGGTCCAGAAACGGGCGCGCCTTCCTACCCAAAAAGCCCAACATGGCCCTTCTTGGGCTTGAAACAGTGAAGAACCCGCCAAAAAATATAAAGGAATATGTATCAAAAAATAGGGGGCTTCCCCTAAAATGGGTGGAATTCCAGTTGGCGTCCCTTGAAACCCAACCCCAGAAAGGGGTCCTTGAAAGATAGACACGCCCGAAAAAGTGGGGGAAGATATTGACATGGGGCTGGGGGGTTCCCAAAATTAGATGAAACTCGGTCCACAAATCGGGGTTGCAAGTGGGGCTGGGGCTTCCCAAAGGTACATGAAATGACTGATGCTCGAAGGAAACATGTTTGGCGTCTGGTACTGCAGTCCTGCTCCTGTGTTGACTTGCAGGGCTGACATCAAAAAGCCCGATGTCATATACAGTCTGGCATGGGCAAGAAATTACCGCGACCAAAACAATGCTCAGAAAGCTTTGTCTTGGTTCTTGATCCTCGCTTGTATTTGCTCGATGGGAGCAAGATCTTACCTTGAGATGGCACTTAAGCACTTAAGCAATCTCCCTAGATGCCACCCTGACAGGAATATAATCTAAAAGATTGAGCCAGTTGTGGTTCCCCTTATTCTCTCTGAAACAAACAGATCTGATGAGAGCTTCAAATAGAAAGCTACTCGATGCTTTCACCCGCGTTTTTTTTTTTAAATAATTAGGGCATTCCTTGGCATGCGGGTGACAGATCCAGCCACCGTCTTCATGAGATTCTACATGAGACGATAACACGACAGAGACTCGACACCCACCTTTAAATTTATCCTCGCCTTTGGTGATGGTCGAGTCTCCGTTTTCTTGCAGAATGAGGAGTGCGTCCGTTTGGCTCCTCACATCACAACCAGTTCTCGGTTTCCCAGGCTCGCCTTGCATAGGACAAAGACGAGGAGTCGCCACAACTCAAGAGCCTGAGGGCTTGAGGGATATGTTGGTTCCTCCTTCATTTGTTTCTTGCGATTTGGCGGGTCAAACCTAGGTATCAAAAATGGAACCCTGGCAAATGTCCCCCCTGATGGTCTAATTTTGGCCCCCAACCACTCGATTCGCCCCAACTTATAGCCGGGTCTTTCCCCAAGGAACCGGCCGAAGCGCTTCGGCCGACGTCTCCGATCCTGTGACATGATCGCCCTGAGGATGTGCTCCGATCCGACCTCGGGAGGCGCGGCCGGTCGCGCCGGACCCGCGCTTTGCCGCACGCACGTGGCGTCTCACGTCTTACGCCTTGAAGGAGACGCTACGTCAAAGAAAGCCAGTGGACAGGGGGTCAACTCGATTCCCCCAAAGCACAAGTTGCAGTTTCCCCCGGTGGGTTCCAACGAAATTGCCACGTTGGGAGTTCCGAAAAAGGGGAATGGAGGAACCCTTCATGGAGAGAGTCTGTAGTTTCGACACACTGTCCGACAGGTATGAAGCGCCATGGATCCTGAATGCATGTCGATGATGTGTAAAGATTCAGAAGTAGTACTGGCGGCATCGTTTGGACAACTGCACGCAGAACCAATCGTCGACACTGTCGCATCATCCAAATTGGCAGCAAACTCTGCACCAGGTATGGCTGTGTCTCAATATGCGCGACCCCTTCAGGTGGTCTTTGACCCCGTGCCGTCAGGCTTTCTGCTTGCCTCTTTGGTGGGAGAACCGTCGTTTCCCCCCAGAAACAAACAAAGCACAGCATGATGCCACAAAATTGGACCGACGAGCAACCAAGGTCGGGGCTCCCTCTGGGCCTTTGCACCCATCCCAACTGTGCACCATCTGGATGAAACCAAAATCGAGACCCTTCCATGTCTTTCAAGCACACTCTACCAACTGCGCAGTGGATTTTCTCCAAACATCCCCCGGACCTATTCCCCGCAACCCACGCACGCCAAACCCCGCGCTCGATCGCATCATCCACCCCGAGCCACTGGACTTTCTCGACCGCTTTCAAAATCGCCCGACTCATTCCCCGCACTCCACCGCCCGACTCCCGCGCTCCACCCACGCGGCCCACGCGATCGAGCCCATCGAGCGCGCGGCCATGGCGCAATCCTCACGCTTGGACATGTCCCCGGCCTCTTCGAGGACCTCGCCGGCCGATTTGTCCCCGATCCAAATGGGGGTCCAAATGGGTGGCTCGTCTTTCTTTTACCCCGTGTTGGGTGGTCTTAAAGGGAAACCAAAAGGAAAACGGGGCGGTCCGCTACAAAAAGACAAGCCCAACACGTGATACAGATACCGCTATTTTGACGAGCACGCCGGGATTGGTGATATTGACATTAGTTTCATGAAGGCGCTGGGAAGGATGGAGGCTGCTTTGACACTGGTTTCAAACATGTTTGCACAGGGGCATGGCCCATCCTGTATATACTGTAGCCCCATTGCTTTACCGCTGTCGGAAACACTCCTGTAGCTGACTGTGATACTCCTTAAAAGCGGTCAATTACTGGGCCAAGTGTGTCAAAAAGAGCTGCGGAGGTTTCTCCGCAGCCTCCCGCAGTGGGTCCAGGGAACGGGAGCCGAAAGAAAGGATTCAGACTCCGGAAAGTGAACAGAAGCGATACAGTTTGAGGAGCCTCTCATTTCGACCTGCAGCCCAACAGGAAACCACTTCATAACCGCTGTCACAGGTTTGAAGCGGCGGTCTGTTTTTGAGAGCTCGGATTTCCCAGTTCGAAGTAAAAGCCAAATAATCCAGGAACACAAACCACGGACCGGGAAGCTGAGCTGAAATCTTGTCTGGCGAGCTGTGGGTAAGAGGGCATCAGTCCAATTATTGTCCCTTGGAATTAAAGAATAACGGTCAGTGTGTGAACAGCCTGATAGGGCCTCCCGAATCACCTTCGGCGGTTCCAAGTCTCTTAGTCAACTTGGCCACTCTACCTCTCATGCTGGAAATTAAAAGCAGTGACCAATATGGGTATCTTTTTTGGGGGGACTCCCCGAAAAAGGGTGGGTTTCCGTTATCCGAAAAGGGGTACCCTCAAACAAACAAACACACCCATATCGCAGTTCAGCATGATGCATGAACACTGAGCAATGTCAACTTCAGATTCATGCGTGGAATGAATCAGTCAGTGAGACCACTACTGGAGATGCAGACAGGGTGCCGGCCAAATTTCAACCATGCTGAGAAAGGACGTATTGGTGGCCCTGCATAAACAGGATGCGAACAAACAAGACATCGGAGAAGAAGCTGTGTGTGAGCGCCATGCCATTTTGCTCTTTTGCCTTGTTTAGGGTTTGCGCAAGAAACAGGAAGGCAGCGCGTAGAAGCAAACATGAGGCCATGATGGGACACAATCAGTGGTTATTTGCATACATGTCAATATTTCATTTCATCTGCTCAAACTGATGCCCTTGAAGCAACCAGCAAGCGCATCTTTGGCTTGCAGCTAGCATCCCCCTCACCGCCCACCCTCCCCCACCCAACAACCTCTGAAACCACGGTAAGAACGGCTCCGGAAACGACGTGCTGCCTGCCAACTTCGGGAAAGGGAAGTCCCCTAAGTAGGCCCCATTGTCAGAAAGCCTCCGAATTCTGGGTGTGGCTCAAAATTATACGATCGGATCGGAGGGGCAAACCGCAGGTTTTGGCGCCCATGTTTCCACTTACAAGGGCAACCCATTTTGGTACCGAACTATTTTTTGAGCCACAGCCTCCTGGCTTCAGCCCAAATCATTCCTCTCCCGCTCCAACCCCGCCTTCATGGCTTCCTGCGTCAAGGGGATCTCCGCGTTCTGGCGTTCTCGCTGAAAAATGATCGGGGACGTGCAGCGAACCAGGACACAAACTGAAATGCTCCTGGTCTACCAGGTCACAGAGCACCTTGTTATTCTATATGACCTGATCCTTCAGGCAAGTCTGTGGTAAATATATGAAGTTGAAACTGACGGAAGTTGAACTTCACTTCAACTTCACATATTTGCCACAGATTTGCCGCACATCTGTGGTAAATATGTGAAGTTGAAACTGACGGAAGTTGAACTTCACTTCAACTTCACATATTTAACATATATGAAGTTGAAACTGACGGAAGTTGAACTTCACTTCAACTTCACATATTTGCCACAGATTTGCCGCACATCTGTGGTAAATAGTTGTGAAGTTGAAACTGACGGAAGTTGAACTTCACTTCAACTTCACATATTTAGCATCCTGTTGTACAATGTAAATATATGAAGTTGAAACTGACGGAAGTTGAACTTCACTTCAACTTCACATATTTGCCACAGATTTGCCGCACATCTGTGGTAAATATGTGAAGTTGAAACTGACGGAAGTTGAACTTCACTTCAACTTCACATATTTGCCACAGCATCTGTGGTACATATGTGAAGTTGAAACTGACGGAAGTTGGCTGTGGCAATTGGCTGATTGTTGCTTCGCACTAGATATCACACCCGCAGATTTTGAGGCAGGGGGAGTGGAGTGAGGCGGCATCGGTTTTGAGTGAGATTGTCAGAGATGGCGGCAAAGTCAAGAATTGGAGCATTCGTCAGCTCGCCCGCTCATTCGTCAGCTAGGCTAGAAGGGCAGTGCAAAACAGCAACCTCGAATGAGCACTGCCGTCGCCCACAGTCGCAGGCCTTGGTTCGGTCCTTTATCTTGCTGGTGCTCAGCGGGGCATGAGGCATGAGGCATGGGGAATGACCCTTCGGGTGTCCTTTTCGGGGGACCAAAGCCTGGGTTCGTCCCACATTCCCTACTGAGCAAAAGCAAGTTGTGCGAATGAACCCAGGGGTCCCCTTAAAGGAAACCACCAGTACGATGGTTTATTTCGGGGTCATTCCATTTCTCATCCCCTGCCGAGAATGCACCGATCGCAAGTAATGTAAGGCCCACTGCCCGAATCAAACACTTCGAACACCGGGCGGGCGCCCAGCTCTGGGCCCCCTTGAAACAAGAAGAAAGGCGATGGAGCAACCAAAAAAATCAACCTGGACCCTCAAACTACCCATTAAAAAACAGAGCAGGATTTCACCCCATGATTTGTTCGGGCTGTAACCCGTTTTGAGGCAATCTTTGAGGGTTCAGGAAGTTATTTGCCAAGAATGGCCCGGTACCTTTGCAAGCGCGTCAACAAAGAAAGAAACTCATTGACAGGAGCAGTCAAGAATCGGAGGCCTGATTGACGCGATGAAAGCGCCGTTTCCAACACCTCCGCTGGAAGATTTCACCGATACCCCCCCGAAGATCGAAGTGGGGCCTTTCTTTGCTTTCAGCTTAGTATGTCCCAAAACAGGGATCCTTACATTTTACACTTGAACATTGCCTTGTAAATGGTGGTTTCCCTTTATCTTGGTGGAAAAAACAATGTTTCAAATGGGCAAAATGTATCTTTTAAGGAGCCCTGCAAAAGTTGAAGAGTTGGTTGTCGGCCCAAAGAGATCAATACAAGGCAAGTGGGGTGAGCAGAAGGAACCTCCCCGCTGGAGGGATGAGTCGATTGTTTCAGCGCCTCGCAAAACGGACCCTCGTGCCATGGCGGGCTGACCCCGGTTTCCAAGCGAGTTCATCCACAAAAGGGGTGTCCCCAACTGGGTATGGGTCAAAATAAAACCACCAGGCAACCACAGGTTTTAGTTTTGGTTCCATTTACCAGGGTTCCATTTTGGGTACGTATTTGTGACCCATAGCCAACTTTAGTTGCAAGCACCTGACGCCGGAAAAATTCGCCTCCTTGCCACCACCGCCGGTGCCCACCATCTCACGCAGCTTTGCCTTGGCCTGGCAAATCCGCCGAACGCCCCTCGCCAGGTGGATCGTATTTCTCAAAATGCAAAACTGGATCCCCCAAGGTTGGGAGTTGAAGGGAAAACAACCTAGGTCCTCCAGATTTGAGAGGTTAGGGAGGGGGAGGAGGATTGTCTCCTGAAATGGACAAAATGTTCGGCTTTATAATCCTTGCTTCCTGGTTTGTAATCGCGCGCTTTCTCCGTGAATGTTTTTTGTCTTTCTACTTTTGATGGGGGGGGTGCAGCCCCCCCAACCCCCCCGCCTCTTTTACAGGACGTTGTTTTGCTTTGTGATCCTTCTTTGTAACCACGCTTTCTCAAGTAGCAGCTTGCAGTTGCTTTCTGCCCCCCACCCCCCCCCACTGCTTAACAGGGCCGTCAGGCCCCTATCCCGCCCACCCTCGCGTCGCCAGCTTCGCCTGCGCTCCGCCTCCGCGGAGCCTGCGCTGCACCTTCGCTCCGCCTTCGCTCCGCCTTCGCTCCGCCTTCGCTCCGCCTCCGCTCCGCCTCCGCTCCGCCTCCGCTCCGCCTCCGCTCCGCCTCCGCTCGCCGCCTCCGCTCCGCGCTCCGCTCCGCTCCGCTCCGCCTCGCTCCGCCTCCGCTCCGCCTCCGCTCCGCCTCCGCTCCGCCTCCGCTCCGCCTCCGCTCCGCCTTCGCTCCGCCTTCGCTCCGCCTCCGCTCCGCCTCCGCTCCGCCTCCGCTCCGCCTCCGCTCCGCCTTCGCTCCGCCTTCGCTCCGCCTCCGCTCCGCCTCCGCTCCGCCTCCGCTCCGCTCCGCCTTCGCTCCGCCTTCGCTCCGCCTCCGCTCCGCCTCCGCTCCGCCTCCGCTCCGCCTCCGCTCCGCCTTCGCTCCGCGCTCCGCCCGCTCCGCGCTCCGCGCTCCGCCTCCGCTCCGCCTCCGCTCCGCCTCCGCTCCGCTCCGCCTCCGCTCCGCGCTCCGCTTGCTCCGCGCTTCGCTCCGCCTTTGCTCCGCCTTCGCTCCGCCTCCGCTCCGCCTCCGCTCCGCCTCCGCTCCGCCTCCGCTCCGCCTTCGCTCCGCCTCCGCTCCGCCTCCGCTCCGCCTCCGCTCCGCCTCCGCTCCGCCTTCGCTCCGCCTTCGCTCCGCCTCCGCTCCGCCTTCGGCTCCGCTTCGGCTCCGCCTCCGCTCCGCCTCCGCTCCGCCTTCGCTCCGCCTTTGCTCCGCCTTCGCTCCGCCTCCGCTCCGCCTCCGCTCCGCCTCCGCTCCGCCTCCGCTCCGCCTCCGCTCCGCCTCCGCTCCGCCTCCGCTCCGCCTCCGCTCCGCCTCCGCTCCGCCTCCGCTCCGCCTCCGCTCCGCCTCCGCACCGCTCCGCTCCGCCTCCGCTCCGCCTTCGGCTCCGCTTCGGCTCCGCTCCAGCTCCGCGCCGGCTCCGCTCCGGCTCCGCTCGGCTCAGCTCTGGCTCCGCGCCGGTGACGCTTCGGCTTCGCTCCGGCCTCCGCTCCACCTGCGCGCATGTATATATGTATGTAGGTATGTACGTATGCATGCATGGAAGTATGCGGGGATGTAGGTTTTTGTGTAGGCATGTATGTATGTACGTATATATGTAGGTATATACGTATGTATGTCCCTGAATTGAAGAAGCTCCCCCCTCTTAAGAAGCCCCCCCCTTGAAGAACCCCCCCCCCTCCCTTGATAATGACCCCCTTGAAGACCCCCCCTTGATAATGAAGAAGCCCACCCCCTGAAGAAGCCACCCCCCCACCCCTTGATAATGACTTCGTGAAGAAGTCCCCTCCCCCCCTTGATAATGACCCCCCCCGATGAAAAGTACAACCCCCCCACCCCTCTATCGAACGGGTCTGCGTTCTACAAAACATGTCGCTTTCCTGTCTGCTTTCCCCTTGAAACCAAACAAAAACCAAAGCACCTCCAAAGCAAATGGCTCAAGCCTCGAGCGCCGTTCGCGCCTCCTGCAGCTTGATGCCGGCAGCCTCCAAGGCCTCAAACCGACAGGGGCCTGCCGGAGGGGGGGCGGGGGGGGGGGTCACCAGAAAAATACGAGCCACAGGACTTCCAACTAGAGAGCCCAATGAGCAGACATGAACAAATCTTTAAAGCGCTGGTTGAAAGTTAAGGAGCCATTTATCCCTGGTCAGGGGCCAAATCGCACCCCTGGGAATCCATGAAGCTGTCTGAAAACACCCCGCGTCCCCGTTTTCAGCTTCCCCTTTTGCGCCCAAAAATCCACGGCCGCCGGCGGTCTCAGGTCCCGGACACGGCTGCCCCGCTCATTGCCCTCGGCCAGAATGCCCACCACCAGCATCTCGGCGCCCACCTGGGAACTCGCTGCTGGAAGTCAATCAAAAATGCTTTGTTTAGTATCATCTATTTATATATACTGTCAATATAAATGTATGTATATATATATATATTCATATGTAGGCGCATACACACACATATATATATATATATGTATGTATATGTTAAAGTGGGACTGACTGTGTAAACAGCTGATGACCAAAATGTGTCAAACCTGTGATGTGACAGCGCGGCACTTGTTGTCTCTGCGGGCGAGGGCTGTAGCTCTACCTGTAGATAGGCCCAAGGCCCTACAGCAAGCCAAAACAGTTTTGTTCTAATGGGCCGAAGTGATGTCAAAGTCTGTTATCAGCTCTGCTGGCTGTTTCACTTTGACATCGATGCTTCCATGTAGCCGGATAGCCGCCAAAAATCCGGCGTGCCAAAATGGCAAATGTAGACTGTTTGTCTATGCAGTTCTCTTGCGCTTCTTGCCCTCCTCCTCCTCGATGTCCTCCGGGGATGTGTCTGCCTTGTGGAGGCTCTTCCTGTACTCACTGATCTTGTCAATGTACTCAGGATAGATCATGAGGTTCCTTGTTGTGAGTAATCTGAGCCGCAACTGCTCATCTTTGTGATCACTGCTGTCGCGTGCTGTGGAGAAATGTAGCTCAATGCAGAAAGTCCTGTGTAATCGTAGGCTTGTGCAAGTCCAGCGTAAATGGTATCCTGACTGTCAGCTGTAAGCAAACTGTCAAGGGACAGAATAGCGTTGCAGGAATGCATGAAGCCTGCCTCCCACGTGCACTGGTTGTAGATGTGGAAGAAGCATGTCCCATGTACCAAATGCCAGGCTGTAAGGCTGTTCTTCTCCGTGGCGCTCAGCAACCATGTGCTGTTGTTGTATCTGCTGCAACATGTGTCCCCTGTTGCATGTATTTGCCCTAGACCTTGGTGTAGGGTCAAGAAGCTTTGTCATGTAGAGGTCAGCGGTGTTTGCTATAGCCAACTTCCCTGCACTCATCAGAAGCAAAGTTGTCATTTCCGCGTCGTGTGGATTGGTTGTAAGAACTGTAAAATCGATTGCTGGGTAACGAAGGTTGCCCGGGATGTACTCGATCTTTTCCAACGTGTCTCCCACAAAAGAGATGTACTCCTCGGTGGTGAGAGCGATGTAGAGTTCATTGCTGTGTTGGGCCAACGAGCGGTTGTGCCACGCTGTAATTCCTGGTTCTGTAACCTTGAGGTTGTCCGCCCTGACAAAGCCGATGTCTGCCACCGATGTGGTCATCCTGTCGTTGTACCTTTCTGGTACGCGGGCATGCGCGATCATGGGCAGAGGTGTAATGGGCTGCATGTTCATTGCGATGTATGCAACCTGATGGACCTCCAGACCAAACTGATGTAAACGAAATGGCTGCAGAAATGTGTTAAAGCATTTTTTGAGACATGTACAGACTGCCAGGAAAATGTAGTTCCCAAAAGGTGTGGGGAAAAGTCGTAGTTGTAAAAGCGGGGTCGACCCATGGCCGATGTGTCTACCCTAAAAGATTGTAACTATGCCGGCTGTTATGTAGTAAGACAAACATGTGTGAACTGCGCGCCTGTTGTTTAACAACCTGTGCTGACTACTGTGCTCACTGGTGTGAAACGGTTGTGGTGTGGCCTTACAGGCCAACGTTGTACAAGTGCTTGTTGAGGGTGTACTTCAAATGCTTCCTTGATGAAGTTGCTGATGTAGAGGCTCTCCTGTGCTGCTGTACCAATTGCGTACAGTTCTGATTCTGCTGGTGAAAGTGCTATTGTTGCTTGTGTTCTGCTGCCATAGTGTACTGCTGCTCCAAAGAAGTACAGTACAAATCCTGTTGCGCTTTGTCTTGTTGTCTCGCGTGATGCCCAGTTGACATCTGTGTGTGGCCTGCGTTTGCATCTTTTGTCGGATTGCGTCGCATGTGCCTCGTCCCTTTCAGGTATCTGATCATGCGCTTCAGCCTCTTGTTGTCAAGTTGTGTTGGTGCTTGTAGTGATCTTGCTAGCTCTTTTGCTCCGCTGTGTGCGCTAGCCATTGTATCTTGCCAACAAGCCGCCTGTATCGTTTGTGCTGTTCTTGGTCTAGTCGCGCCTCATCTTCTGCTGTACCTTTCATGCGTGGCACTCCTGGTGATGGTGCTGGGTTGCATGTGTTTATTCCTGACTCTTCCAGGATGATGTCAACATAGTTGTTGTTCAAGCTGATGTCAATGTAGTCGCCTTTGTGTGAGATGTTCCTGCCAAGGAAATATTGTTGATCCAACTGTTAGGTCGCCTGTGTGTCTCAGCAAAACTTCCTTTTGCATTTTGCTGAAGAGCGTGTTCATGATGCTCTGTGCTCCTATGAAGAGGAGATCGTCTACATAGATCATGATGTAGACTTGACCGTCTTTTGATCTGTAGACATTGCTTTCTGTTGTGCATCTCACAAGTTCAAGATTGTGAGAATGTGTGCTGTGTGGTCTTGCCATTGTTTTGGTGATGATCGTAGGCCATAAGTGGCTTTGTTCAGCCGCCACATTATGTGTCTGTTTTCATCCTTGACACAATGACACCAGAACAACAAGCAAACATCATCGAGTCAAGATGGGTTCTCAAACAGAAGCGCAACGAAGTACGAGCACGCATAGTAGCAAAAGGCTACACAGAACCCGAAACAGACCATGACCTACTGTTCGCAAGTGCACCATTGTTTTGCATACTGAGAATACGTCTCACAATGGCACTGGTGTACAACTGGTCGGTCAGAACAGGAGATTTTCTGGGAAGACTGACTGATCTTTCATTTGTGGTACTTCTTTCTTCATTCCTTGTGCTACCTGTTGTGGGTCCAAGCCTTCTGTGTCGTGTATGATTGGCTCTAGTAGGATCCTTTCATTGTCGATATTTTCTGGGTCTTCATTTGATGTGAACTTGATGACATTTATCCTCATTTTGCCCTTTGGCTGTTCTGCTGTTGTAGGTCGCTCCAGCGCTTGTCTCTCTGCTGTGATGCGCTGTCGCTTGCCTGTGCTGCCTTCTGCTATTGTGTCATCTCTTTCTCTTGTGGATGATGTTGGCGGTGGTGCTGGCAGCGCTGGTCGCTTCTGATGTGTTGGTGATGTAGCCATTGGTGATGTTGGCTCTGTTGTTCTCTTCTGCTTTGTTGGCTGATCGCTTGCCTCTGTTGCGCTCTGTCTCTCGCCTTCTGCTGCTGCGCTCGTTGTTGCATCTTTCTGTGGTGGTGGTGCCTTGCTTGTAGCTGGCATTGTCAATGGTGTTGCGAGAGTTGGTGTATGCAGTGCTGATGCTGGTGTCTTCCATGGACCTGTGTGTCCACAGTCCAGTAGTTGCTGATTGTATTTGTGAGACATGATCTTCTGATTGTCCTTGCTCTGACAATCTTGTTGTAGATCCCAATGAGGGATTCACCTGTGGTTGTATCCTTGCCAAGCCAGGTCTTTTTGGAAATTGCTTCACTGTTGGTAGCATGTATTGCGCTGTCTCACCAAACTTGCAAAGTGGTGTATGTCGCTCTCTGTTCCATCTGGTGAAGTAGCTGGTGCATCCATTGCTGTGAACTGCATACCTGTTCATGATGTGTGCGCGGTGTATCCAAGGCATGAGTGGATGTTTCATTGAAATGTCTCTGTTGTAGCCTTGTAGGATCTGTGCCTTGAGTGTTCTGATTTGTGCAAGCAGTGTTCTGTGTGCTCGGTCTACTGCTCCTTGTGATCGTGAACTGTATGCTCCTGAGTTCCTTGTGGCGATGTTGCCATTCTTGTTTGCGAGCTGTGACGAGCGCTGTCAGGAAGTCTTGCTGATCCGATTGTAGTACGGTGTGTGTTGTCCTTCCATCCCAGACTGGATGTCAATTACTGTGAGAATTGGATGTACGTTGCTGTCATCAAAGCCTTTGATGTAGCCGAAGTCAAGCTGTGTGATTGGAAGCTTGCTGTGTTGCTTTGGGTGATTGTTCTGCCTGCCTCTTGCTTGTACGCATATTGGACACCAACTCCTGTAAGGGAGATGTGTCACGTTGTGCTCGAATATCTCCTGTGGTGTTGGTTGCTTGGGCGCTTGTACTGCTTTTGCTTTTGTACCCTGTGTGTTGAAAACTCCTGATGTTCCTCGAAGTTTGTCCAGCCTGTCCAAGGCTTGTCTGATGTTTTTGCTGGTTGCGTTGCCCATTCATCTTCTTCCAATCTTGTGTGGTGTCTTTCTCCTCCAACTGGTTGTACCTTGGTCTGTCTCCAAGGTGTGAGTCGCTTGATGTCTGGCCCGTCGTGCGTCTGCTCTGGTATGTAAAACGCTGTTCAAGGCTCAACATGTACTCTCTTCCAGTCTGGGCCTTCTCTGTACCAGTAGTCTTCTCCAGGATGTACTTCTGAAGGATGTGGAAGTCCTTGTCCAGCTGCACCTTTGGTGGTGTGTGGTGCTGCTGACTCCTGTGGTGTTGGTGGTATTGTTTTCTCTCTCAATCTCGTTCGTGGGTTGTAGTGAATCACTTGTGGTGTGACCTTCCGTGTCTTTGTTGCAAACTGTTGCTGTAGTGTTTCTTGCAATTTTTTGCCTTTCTTGATCCTGAACGCTGTATCTTCTTGCCACATCTGTGGTTGCGCTTTGTTTGGCTCTTCCATTGTTTGACACTTGTCCTCAAACGTGTTTGTTGCGCCGTCCTTGGATCTGATGGTTGTTTTCCTGCGGCCCTCAAGTTGCTCTGCTGGGACTGGACACTGTGTTCTTGGTGGTGTGAAAAGTGTCTTCCTGTATTGCCTGTGTACTCTGACAAGGTCAGTAGTCTCCTGCATATCCTGTATCTGCAGGATCTTGTGGTGTAAGCGTTGTGGTCGGCGCTATCATGCCAATCTGTCCTTGTTCTGTGTTGTGTATCTGTAGCTTTGTTCCTTTTGGCAATGTTGTGAGTTCTGCTTGTAGGAAGAACAGGCCATTTCTGTTCTCCAGTGTGCTGTTGAAACCTTTGATGCGCTGTAGTCTTGGGTAAGTTGGAAACCTTGTTCCACCAGC